AACCAGGACTAAACCAGGACTAAACCAGGACTGAACCAGGACTAAACCAGGATTAAACCTGTGGAGCACTTCCTGTATCACCACACGATGACATCACAAGGTGGGACAGAGTGTTTTTTTCTTGTGCTAAATGAGCAGGTTTTGCAGATTCTTAATTGATCCAAATGATTCTTTTTATATTTTGATTTGAATGTTTGATAAAGTCAGAGGAGCAGTTCTGTGTGTGACGAGGAAACATCAGTTTCATCTGGGCTGTTTGAGCGTGAGGAAAGTTCCAGAGTGTCTTTAGTGCGGCCGTACTCACCCACGACGGTCATCAGCATGTTGTCGAGGAGCAGAGCCACGAACACGATGAACAGGATGAGTTTTCTGGACCTGTGCTCCTCACGAAGCCACTGACGGAGAAAACACAGCGACTCCAGCGCCATGACGACCGAGCGCTTCCGAACGCACCGGAACCTCACGAAAAAACAAAAAAAACACCGAGACCCGGACACAAAAACTCCAACAAAACACCGAGATCTGAGGAGAAACGTCCAGAGGCTCAAGAAAAACTCAAACGCCCAAAAACTTTTCAAAAATTCAAACGTGATAAAAACGGCGGCGGCGAGTCCTCAGATGTCCACAGTTCAGACCCACTCTAGTCCTGGTTTAGTCCTGGTTTAGACCTGATTAAGTCCTGATGTTCTCCCAGATAAGACCTGGTACAGACCTGGTCCAGTCCTGGATTAGTCCTGGTTCAGACCTGGTTTAGATCTGTTTTAATCTTGTCTTAGACCTGCTCTAGTCCTGGTTTGGTCCTGGTTTAGTCCTGAATTAGATCTGGTTTAGACATGGTTTAGTCCTGGATTTGACCTGGTTTAGACCTAGTTTAGTCCTGGTTTAGATCTAGTTTAGACCTGGTTTAGTCCTGATTTAGACCTGGTTTAGATCTGGTTTAAACTTGAGTCTGAATATAGTCCTGCTTTAGACCTGATTCAATTGTAGTTTAGTCCTGATTTGATCCTGGTTTAGTCCTGTTTTAAACCTAGTACAGACCTGGTTTAGACCTGAATTAGACCAGGTTTAGACCTGGTTTAGACCTGGTTTAGACCTGGTTTAGACCTGGTTTAGACTTGCGTCCAAATGTAGTCCTGCTTTAGACCTGATTTAATTCTGGTTTAATCCTGTTTGAATCCTGGTTTGGTCCTGTTTTAGACCTGATTAAATCCTGGCTTGGTCCTGGTTTGGTTTGGTCCTGGTTCGGTCCTGGTTTGGTCCTGGTTTGGTCCTGGTTCGGTCTGGTTCGGTCTGGTTCGGTCCTGGTTCGTCTCTCTGTGGTGATGCTGAGGAGCAGACTGTTGCTTCTGAAGGATCCTGAGCTCTGAGAGGGACCAGGAGGAGGAGCCACGGGGAGGGGGCGGAGCCTGAGCCGGACGCCCTCCCAGACGTGGGCGTGCGTCAGATGCCCTCCCAGACGTGGGCGTGCGTCAGATGCCCTCCCAGACGTGGGCGTGCGTCAGATGCCCTCCCAGACGTGGGCGTGCGTCAGATGCCCTCCCAGACGTCGTCATGGGCTTGAAAAATGAAGATTGTCACTGAAAAAAAAGATCAGGGAAAAAAAACAGTGAAAAATCCCAAACTGATCTCAGACCAGCAGAGTCCGGTTCAGCGGCTCAGTGCTGCCCCCGTGTGGTGTCGACTCCACGTCACATCTGGGCAGACGCACGGGCCCAAAAAAACCTCAAAAAAACAAACGAGTGAAGCGACAGGATCTAAAATTAAATGAAAATTAAACTCGATCCTGATTCTGATTCTGATCCCAGGATGAAAATAAATAAAAGTCTCTTTGTTTGGACAATTTCCTCTGATTTTCTACAGTAAAAAGGTGAAACTTTCTTTTCTGTTTCAATGTGTCTTTAAATCTGTGAAAACCAGGACTAAACCAGAACTAAACCAGGACTAAACCAGAACTAAACCAGGTCTAAACCAGGTCTAAACCAGAACTAAACCAGGTCTAAACCAGGACTAAACCAGGTCTAAACCAGAACTAAACCAGGACTAAACTAAACCAGGTCTAAACCAGGTCTAAACCAGGTCTAAACTAAACCAGGAACTAAAACCAGGACTAAACCAGACTAAACCAGAAACTAAACCAGGAAAACTAAACCAGGACTAAACCAGGTCTAAACCAGGTCTAAACCAGGTCTAAACCAGGTCTAAACCAGGTAAACCAGGAAACCAGGTAAACCAGGTCTAAACCAGGTAAAACCTAAACCAGGTCTAAACCAGGTCTAAACCAGGAAAACCAGGTAAACCAGGTCTAAACCAGGAAACTAAACCAGAACTAACCAGTAAACCAGGAACTAAACCAGAATCTAAACCAGGTCCAGGTCTAAACCAGGTCTAAACCAGAACTAAACCAGGTCTAAACCAGGTCTAAACAGGTCAGGTCTAAACCAGGTCTAAACCAGGACTAAACCAGGTCTAAACCAGGACTAAACCTAAACCAGAAACCAGGTAAACCAGGTCTAAACCAGAACTAAACCAGAACTAAACCAGGTCTAAACCAGGACTAAACCAGGTAAACCAGGTCTAAACCAGGTAAACCAGTAAACCAGGTAAACTAAACCAGGTCTAAACCAGGTCTAAACCAGGGTCTAAACCAGGACTCTAAACCAGGTCTAAACCAGTAAACCAGGACTAAACAGAACTAAACCAGGACTAAACCAGGTAAAACCAGGACTAAACCAGGTCTAAACCAGGAACTAAACCAGGTCTAAACCAGGTCTAAACTAAACCAGGAAAACTAAACCAGGTAAACTAAACCAGGTCTAAAAAACCAGGTCTAAACCAGGTCTAAACCAGGTCTAAACCAGGTCTAAACCAGGTAAACTAAACCAGGACCAGGACTAAACCAGGTCTAAACCAGGTCTAAACCAGGTCTAAACCACTAAACAGGTCTAAACCAGGTCTAAACCAGGAACTAAACCACTAAACAGGTCTAAACCAGGACTAAACCAGGTCCAGGTAAACCAGGGTCTAAAACTAAACCAGGTCTAAACCAGGTCTAAAACCAGGTCTAAACCAGAACTAAACCAGGTCTAAACCAGGACTAAACCAGGTCTAAACTACAGGACTAAACCAGGACTAAACCAGGTAAACCAGGACTAAACCAGGTAAACCAGGTCTAAACCAGGTCTAAAACTAAACAGGAAACCAGGTAAACCAGGAAAACTAAACCAAACCAGGTCTAAACCAGGACTAAACCAGGAACCAGGTAAACCAGGAAACTACTAAACCAGGTCTAAACCAGGACTAAACCAGGTCTAAACCAGGACTAAACCAGAACTAAACCAGGTCTAAACCAGAACTAAACCAGGACTAAACCAGGACTATTTGTTCTGATAGAGCTCAAAATCAGGATCTTTCAGAACCAACAGTCTGCTCCTCAACACAGAGACTGGATCAGGACCAAACCAGGACCAAACCAGGACCAAATGAGGACTAAATCAGGAACAAAAAAGGATCAAACCAGGATTAAAACAGGACTACACATAAAGAACTGAACTGACTGTTCTGAATCATTTAATGAAATGATTTAATTAAAATTGTGTATAATGTTATTGTTTGTGTACATTATTCTTGTAAGTATATCTATAATTATTTGTATATATACATAAATGTAAATGTCATGAAAAATAGAAATAAATAAAAGAGGGAATAGTTGTATTTTCAACTTGATTTAAATATAAAACACGTGGTCATCTCTGTCTCTGTTTATTATCATGTTTTATATTATAATGTTTTTTGTTTTTTTACTCTTTGTTATTAAATTTAATTAAATTATGATGTGTGACTCCTGTGTCCAAAACATTTCCCTTGTGAATCAGTAAAGTCTAAAAGTCTAAAAGATCTAAAATATCTAAAGGTCTAAAAGTCTAAAACATCTCAAGGTCTGTGCTCAGTGCAGTTTTCAGTCTGACAGCGCCCTCTGCTGGACACAGCCTGAGTTGGCGCGTGTCACATTTTGTCTCATTTTTCAGTGAAATTGTTTAAAATAGTGAAATTTACAAAAAAAAAAAAAAAAAAAAAAAAAAAAACAAAACAGGAAATATCATGATGTTTCTTCTGAAAATGTGTTAATTATTTTAAGTTTATAAAAGCCATGTTATAAATCATTTTTTGTGTCTTTTTAATTCTCCATCCAGAATATTTTACTTTAACACTTTTATATCTTTAATGTTTGACTGTTTCATGTTCTGTGTTTTCTGTTGCCTCTTGGTCTTTGCAAATGAGAAGATCTGCTCAATATTAAATAAATAAAACAAAAATAAATAAATAAATAAAATACTTGTGTCTGATCTGTTATGATGTTTTTTTATACTCACGGACTTTACGAAGAAGTGTGACGTCACCCACAGCGTTCGGCTCAAATAAATAAATAAATAAATAAATAGATTAACTAACTAATTAATTAAAATGAAGCTCGCGGTGTTAAGAGTTACGCGGTGAGTTTAGAGTCAAAAGTGTAAAATACTTTTGCATTACTTTGTGTACGAATTGTGTTGTACAAATAAACTTGCTTTGCCTATCGAAATAAACTCCCCAGGTTCACGTGGCGCGGGTTTATGAATCCCGAGTCTCACCGCCGCAGGTTCAGAAAAAGGAGCCGCAGAGTCTCAGCTTGAGCCACAGGAGCCGGAGCCAGAAGTAGCCGGAAGTGCCGCTTGTAAACTTCCTGTTTACAACGCGGCGGCGGCTAACGCGTTAGCTCCGTTAGCTCCGTTAGCTCCGTCCCGTTTTATAAACTGGATAAAGTTTTAATCTCACCTGTGAATATGTTAAAATATGAACATTTTAGATCACAATATTAATTATAAACAAGCTAATGAAGTGATATTTATATGGACTAGTAGGACTAAACTAATTTAATCAAAAGTCTAGAGACAATTTATGAAGAAAGAACAAACTGTAGCTTTAGCTTTAGCTTTAGCTTTAGCTCCTGACGGACGCCAGAGTTTTACAAACAGTGAAGTCAAGTTTACTCTTAAAATGTAATCCCCTACAGATTACAGATTACTTACCCCAAAATGTAGTTTGTAACATAATCCATTAAATGACTTAAAGTGAGTAATGTAATCTGATTACTTTGGATTACTTGATTACTCTGATAAAAGAAAATAACAAGTCCAGACTTTAGTGAACCAAATTAAAAATATTATTGATAGAAGATGAAGAAACATGTCCACACAGCAGGATTTAGACCTGTTAAATCCTGGTTTAGATCTGGTTTAGTCCTGGTTTAGTCCTGGTTTAGACCTGGTTTAGTCTGGTTTAGTCCTGGTTTAGACCTGGTTTAGTCCTGGTTTAGACCTGGTTTAGTCCTGGTTTAGATCTGGTTTAGACCTGGTTTAGTCCTGGTTTAGATCCTGGTTTAGTCCTGGTTTAGACCTGGTTTAGTCCTGGTTTAGACCTGGTTTAGTCCTGGTTTAGTCCTGGTTTAGATCTGGTTTAGTCCTGGTTTAGATCTGGTTTAGACCTGGTTTAGTCCTGGTTTAGTCCTGGTTTAGTCCTGGTTTAGATCTGGTTTAGACCTGGTTTAGTCCTGGTTTAGATCTGGTTTAGACCTGGTTTAGTCCTGGTTTAGTCCTGGTTTAGATCTGGTTTAGTCCTGGTTTAGATCTGGTTTAGTCCTGGTTTAGATCTGGTTTAGACCTGGTTTAGTCCTGGTTTAGATCTGGTTTAGACCTGGTTTAGTCCTGGTTTAGATCTGGTTTAGTCCTGGTTTAGTTTCTGGCAGTGAGTGGAATTACCGGGGAAAAAAACAAAACAAAAAAAGGGAGGATTTAGCCCAAAATGTGAAAACAGGAAAATCCCTCTGTGTAATTCATTTATTTCAACAAAGTAACTGTAATCTAATTCCCACTCACTGAAACAGTAACTGTAACTGAATACAGTTACTTATCATTTGTACTCTGATTACTCTGGTACATGTAATCTGTTACTCCCCAACACTGTTTACCAGACACATATTTCTAAATAAAACTTATTTATAACATGAACCACCTTTTTTGGAGACTAGATTCTCACAATTATAAAGTGGTTCACACCTGGTTTAGACGGTGGGATAAATAAAACTGAAAAAAGAGTGTAACATCAGCCGTTCCAGACGCACGTGTGTCACTGTTTAATCTGACACTAAATACAGAAACAACAAACAAATGGAATTAATGCTCCTCTAGTTTAGACCTGGAATAGAACTGAAACAGTTTAGCCCAAGTTTAGTCCTGGTTTAGTCCTGGTTTAGATCAAATTGGTCAAGACGAGGGACACCTGGGACATTTCTTGTATAAAACTGGGACAAATCAGTGGTTTTGTATAAATCTGCAGGGACATGGGACACAGACTCAAAACTGAGACTGTCCCGGGTCAATATGGACGTCCAGTCTTCATAAACATGAACCACCTACGTCTTATTACAGAAGAGTCAAACTCAAACTCAGAGGCCAAAATTACAAACTGGGACTAAGTCGTGGGCCAAACTAAATATTTATTGAAAAAATTCTACAACATCTTCATGTTTTCTCTTCTTTGGAAATTTGTAACGTTAAACCTTTTCTTATTCAAATAAATGTTTAATCATAGTTTTGTTTAAACATTGAGTCCAGAACAAACAGAATAAAAATAATAACAACATTTTAAATAAATCATGTCTCTATAGTCGATCTGTAGCCGGTGGTGCAGCTCTAATACAGACGTGATATAATCTCAGGGCCAAATATAATTATATCATGGGCCAAATTTGGTCCCCGGGCCTGAGTTTGACATGTTTGTCTTATTAGATACTTTTGTGCACTTTGTACAGAGATGATCTGGTGGACCTCAGGAGACGTCTGAAATGAGACGACTTATAGCCCGAAAAATACAGAAGTCATTAAAACTCCACAGAATGAACAGAACGACCATTGTGTCTGATGATCCAGACGCCGCCGGTCACATGTCCTTCACATGTCCTTCACATGTCCTTCACATGTCCTTCACATGTCCTTCACATGTTCTATAATGTCCTGTAACATGTCCTTTAACATGTCCTATATCATAAAGTTGTGTTATTTCCTGTAAACATTAACCCGGGTCCTTGGGCAGAGGTGCAGCTGGCACTGTCCCACGGCGCCGTATTTAAACGGCTCCGGCCTGAGTGCAGCGCGTCTCCTCACGGTAAGAACACGTCTCACTCCACACGCTTCACGCTTCACTCCATGTATATGACTCGTACGACCCTAAACCTCTGTTTGTGCGGCAGATGTGGAGTTTGGATCTGCTGCTGCTGCTCGCGCTCTTCGGAGCCTCTTACGGTCAGTTTCAATTCTCAGATATATTTTTGTGTTTTTGAACTTGAAAACACAAAACTGGAGCTGCTGCCGTGTGTCTCCAGGAGGGGAGGTGTGTATCGGGGACCTGGGCTGCTTCTCGGACCTGCCGCCCTGGGGAGGAACCACACAGAGACCGGCCTCTGTCCTGCCCTGGGGCCCCGAGGCTTTAGGCACCAGATATCTGCTCTTCACCCAGAAGAACAAGTACTACCAGGTACAGACGAGGAGGAGGAGGATGTGAGGAGGAAGAGGAAGAGGACTGACTGTGTTTTGTGTTTCAGGAGATCAAACCCGACAGCTCCATCTCAGCCTCAAACTACAACAGCAAAAAGATGACGCGCTTCATCATCCCGGGGCATCTGAAGAAAGGAGACGAGGACTGGGCCCAGGAGACCTGCAGGGTGAGGCGTCTGGGGAGAGGGAGGACCGGTATACATGTCCTCCCTGTGTTACTGTGGCAGAGTGGTTAGCCTGTCTCCTCCCTCTCACCAGGAGGTTGTGGGTTAGACTCCTGGGGCCTTAGTGCTGGTGTTAGGGGGCGTGTCCAGGTGGGGCTGTTCTTCTGCTGGAGGCTCCAGTTTGACGGTACAAGAACAAACATGATGACGACATCTGAACTGATCTGAAAACCTGTGTCCGTGTGGGTAAAGTCTGTGTCTCTGCCTCATCACAGGAAGTACAGAGGCTCAGGAGAAAACTTCTATATGTGACAGTAAAACAGGTCCAGAGCCTCAGGATGCAGGAACTCACCAGCAGAGGAACCAGGGGTATGACAGAACCGACTGTGTTCTGTTCACTCCACGTGCACGAGCACCTCTGCCTCACACGTGCACGAGCACCTCTGCCTCACACGTGCACGAGCACCTCTGCCTCACACGTGCACGAGCACCTCTGCCTCACACGTGCACGAGCACCTCTGCCTCACACGTGCACAACAGCCTTTTTAGTTTCCTCATTTTGTTTCCCGGAGTTGAGGAGTTGAGGTTTGAGGAGGTTGAGGAGGTTGAGGAGGTTGAGGAGGTTGAGGAGGTTGAGGAGGTTGAGGAGGTTGAGGAGGTTGAGGAGTTGAGGAGGTTGAGGAGGTTTGAGGAGGTTGAGGAGGTTGAGGAGGTTGAGGAGGTTGAGGAGGTTGAGGAGGTTGAGGAGGTTGAGGAGGTTGAGGAGGTTGAGGAGGTTTTGAGGAGGTTGAGGAGGTTGAGGAGGTTGAGGAGGTTGAGGAGGTTGAGGAGGTTGAGGAGGTTGAGGAGGTTGAGGAGGTTGAGGAGGTTGAGGAGGTTGAGGAGGTTGAGGAGGTTGAGGAGGTTGAGGAGGTTGAGGAGGTTTTGAGGAGGAGGTTGAGGAGGTTGAGGTGGTTGAGGAGGTTGAGGTTGAGGAGTTTGAGGAGGTTTTGGAGGTTGAGGAGGTTGAGGAGGTTTTGGGGGTCGAGGTGGTTACCGGTTTGATTCCCGTCTCTCTTGCAGACCATGCTGACCTGGGAGAACGTGAACTGCGTTGTGGTGGAGTGGAAGTCGGGGGTGAGGACGTCGTACGCTCAGGCCGCCAATAACGTGCGAGTCCTGGGGGCGCAGGTCGCTCAGATGATCTCCTTCCTCATGGTGAGACGCCGTTTCAGGATCAGGACGAGATCTCCACAGACTAAAGCTCCACAAGACTGAACGCACACACCAGGAAAATGATCTCGTGAGGGTTTTTTTTAACCAAAACTGGCCAAAATTGGAAACTGAATCACAAAATGTATATATCAGAAATTATGCCAAAATCTCGAGATCTTGTGGAGCTTGTGTCTGGTTTCGTCTCTACAGTTTTATGTTTAATATTTGAGTAGTAACTGGGTGAAACCTCAGGTGTGGTGAGTGAGCAGCTGTGGTTTTCTCAGATGATGTAACATCTTCTCTTTTACTCTACAGAACACGAGGCTGATCACACAGATCGATTTCCTAATCCATATTTAAACCAGTACTGAAAATAAATCCTCATTTTTCCACACAGCTTCATGGAACAAGCACAAAGTAACACAAGAGTCACATTTCAGAACAGGTTTGAACACATCCAAACGACGAGTCGTGTTTATGCAGAATAAGAGAAGATTTAGTTGTTTGTGGTGGAAGTTGTGATACTTAAGGAACTGCTGTTTTTACTTCAGTTACTTTAGTTACTTTAAGATAAGATAAGATTTGCCTTTATTAGTCCCACAGTGGGGAAATTCCAGTGTTGCAACGCACAATTTCAGAACAGCAGGAAAAGGTAACACAGATAATAAATAATAGCTTAAAATAATTTAAAAATAGACTTTAAAAATAGACTAGACTTTAGTTACTTTAGTTACTTTAGGAACTGTTTTTAACACAACAAAATGAGGTCACAACAAAAATTATAAGACATTTTTGTCATATCTCCCAATTTACAACTAAACCTCACATCAGAAAGACTAAAACTAAAATCAAAACTAGATCCTCGTTTTTCGCAGGATAAAACCTTTAATCAAAGTGTTTACACACATGGACCTGGTTTAGTCCTGGTTTAGTCCTGGTTTAGACCTGGTTTAGACCTGGTTTAGTCCTGGTTTAGACCTGGTTTAGACCTGGTTTAGTCCTGGTTTAGACCTGGTTTAGACCTGGTTTAGTCCTGGTTTAGACCTGGTTTAGTCCTGGTTTAGATCATTTAATATGGAAAATCACAGGAGATCGTCTAAAGAAAGAGGATTTTATTTTCATTGTGGGATTGGTATCGAGTATCAATATCGAGTATCAAGTATCGAGTATCGAGTATCGAGTTACTTGGAATTAAAATTGTGGAGAAGCTGTTTCCTTCTTGTTTCCATGGAGATGTTCCACAGTGCGGCATTAAACTTTACCTTCACACATTTATTCAAACTCAGGTGTTTTAGTTTCTCAAAATGACTTGGTGGAACTCGCCTCTCCACAGATCTGACCCGCAGCTCGGCCTGCTGGGTCACGTGCTTACATACAGTTTGTTTAATGCCACAGTGTGGAATATTCCAGACAAAGCTCATCTCAGCTGGCAGACCCTCCACTGTGCGTCTCTGTTTCCGTGGAGATGTTGTTGATGTGGTTGTAAAATCCCGCAGTGCAGCATTAGTCAGGTCTCCATGGATACGGCCGCTCATGTTTCTGTGTCGTTCAGGGGAAGTTCTGGCAGAAGCCCGACCGCTTCCACCTGATTGGCCACAGTCTGGGAGCTCACGCCGCCGGAGACGTGGGACACCGACTCCGAGGAATCGCCCGGATCACAGGTACGACTCAGACCGGGACCGGGGACCGGGACCAAGACCGGGACCAAGACCGGGACCAAGACCGGGACCAGGACCACGTTTACATGAAGAGTTTAACTCTGAATTAAATAGAAGTGAATTCAAATCGTCACCGTCACGTTTACATGGAAATAATATTAAGTCTGAACTGAGGAAAACTGGTGACATGTTTTTTATTTCCTGTGTGAGCGACTGGGGGGAGGTTCTGATTGGACAGAGACATGAACAGATTTACGTCTCTGGGAAGAAAACACAAACTTGAGCTGCTCCCGACTTTTCCGTCGTCTGGTTTGTGGTTCCTCCACCGACACAAACACCGTCCAGACTTTTCCCTCAGTGGTTCTGATGAGGATTGTGAAGCAGCAGCTGGAGAATCGTCTCATTGCCTCTTCACCACAACGACCGAAACAGCGACCGCATCACTGCCGAAGCTGCACCTGTCCACCTGTCCACCTGTCCACCTGTCCACCTGTCCACCTGTCCACCTGTCCACCTGTCCACCTGTCCACCTGTCAGTGTCTCGCTCCCTCCTCTCCTCCCTCCAGAACAAGACCCTGACAGACTTGAACTCGTCCACGTGAGGCAGAGACTCTCCACCCGCCGGAGACGACAAAACGTCTTTTTCCAGAACCTCGACCTCGGGTTTGGAGGAGCCGATCTTCATCCAGACGCTTCACACTCGGGTCAAACCGTCCCAGAGCTGCAGGTCCTACAGGTCGACATCATCTGTGAACAGCAGAGATGATCCTGTGGTTCTTCTGTTTTATTCAGAGTTAAAGTTCTCCTGTAAACGTGGCGACTGGAACCTGGACCTGATCAAACTGTAAAGTCAAACTAAAGTGTGATGTTTCTCAGGTCTGGACCCCACGGAGCCGTACTTCCAGGGCACAGACGCTGAGCTCCGCCTCGACCCGACCGACGCCACGTTTGTCGACGTCATTCACACCGACGGCGCCCCCTTCAACTCCAAACTGGGTACTGCAGGACTGTGACCTCCTGACCCCTGTGTGACCCCTGTGTGACCCCTCCCACAAAAGCTATGGGCAAATATTGATTAAATCGATTTATCACATTTGAAGTTCAAAACTATTAGTTTGGAAGAAAATGTGTTTTATTTCCCCTGTTCTTGTTTTGGAAACTGCACTGACCTCTGTGTGACCCCTCTGACCTCTGTGTGACCCCTGACTGCCCTCTGTGTGACCCCTCTGACCTCTGTGTGACCCCCCTGACCTCTGTGTGACCCCGCTGACCTCTGTGTGACCCCTCTGACCTCTGTGTGACCCCGCTGACCTCTGTGTGACCCCCCTCTGACCTCTGTGTGACCCCTGTCTGTGTGACCTCTGACCTCTGTGTGACCCCCCTCTGTTGTGACCTCTGACCTGTGTGTGACCCCCTCTGACCTGACTCTGTGACCCCTGACCTCTGTGTGACCCCCCTGACCTCTGTGTGACCCCCTGACCTGACCTCTGTGTGACCCCCCTGACCTCTGTGTGACCCCGCTGACCTCTGTGTGACCCCCCTGACCTCTGTGTGACCCCCCTGACCTCTGTGTGACCCCTCTGACCTCTGTGTGACCTCTCTGACCTCTGACCCTCAGGTCTGGGAGCGTCGGAGCCCATGGGACACGTCGACTTTTACCCAAATGGAGGAGAGAACATGCCCGGCTGCAACGTCAACAAAGGAAAACCCACAGACCTGGACGCCGTCTGGCAAGGTCCAAGACCAGGACTAAACCAGGACTGAACCAGGACTAAACCAGGACTGAACCAGGACTGAACCAGGACTAAACCAGGACTGAACCTGGACTAAACCTGGACTGAACCAGGACTGAACCTGGACTAAACCAGGACTGAACCTGGACTAAACCAGGACTGAACCTGGACTAAACCAGGACTGAACCTGGACTAAACCAGGACTGAACCAGGACTGAACCTGGACTAAACCAGGACTGAACCTGGACTAAACCAGGACTAAACCAGGACTGAACCTGGACTAAACCAGGACTGAACCTGGACTAAACCAGGACTAGACCAGGTCTAACTCAGGTCCGGTGTGTTCCAGGCTCGGTGAAGTTCGACTTCTGTAATCACGGTCGTTCGTACGAGTTTTACACCGAGAGCATCGTCAAACCTCAGGGCTTCATCGGGTTTCCCTGCGCCGACAAAACCCACTACGACCAAGTACGAGACAACAACAACAACAACAACAACAACAACAACAACAACAATAACCAGCGTTTATCAAACTGTCTGTCCTCATAACACCTGTCTGTCCCTGTCTGTCCCTGTCTGTCCCTGTCCCTGTCTGTCCCTGTCTGTCCCGTTGTCTCAGGGGAAGTGTTTCCCGTGCTCAGAGGACACGTGTCCACAGATGGGACATCACTCGTACAAACTCGCCGCCAAAGGAGGGAAGTACTTCCTGAGCACCGGAGACTCCACCCCCTTTGGACGTGAGTGACGCCCCTTCAAAATAAAACGCCAAACCCACTCTACTCCTTCAAAATAAAACACCAAACCCACTCTACTCCTTCAAAATAAAACACCATTCTGCCCTTTCAAAATAAAACACCAAACCCACTCTACTCCTTCAAAATAAAACACCAAACCCACTCTACTCCTTCAAAATAAAACACCAAACCCACTCTACTCCTTCAAAATAAAACACCAAACCCACTCTACTCCTTCAAAATAAAACACCATTCTGCCCTTTCAAAATAAAACACCAAACCCACACTACTCCTTCAAAATAAAACACCAAACCCACTCTACTCCTTCAAAATAAAACACCAAACCCACTCTACTCCTTCAAAATAAAACACCATTCTGCCTTTTCAAAATAAAACACCAAACCCACACTACTCCTTCAAAATAAAACACCAAACCCACTCTACTCCTTCAAAATAAAACACAACTCACATCGTCTACCCACTGAGACGACTTCTCCTTCCTTAAAGACGTCCTTCAAACCGTTTTTTCTTCTGGTCGCAGGTTTTTCTTCACGTGTTTTCTTCTCGTCGCAGGTTTTTCTTCACGTGTTTTCTTCTCGTCGCAGGTTTTTCTTCACGTGTTTTCTTCTCGTCGCAGGTTTTTCTTCACGTGTTTTCTTCTCGTCGCAGGTTTTTCTTCACGTGTTTTCTTCTCGTCGCAGGTTACTCGTATCACGTCCGTCTGACTCTGGACGGCCCCATGTGGCCAAACCCCGGCTTCATGTTCGTGGCTCTGGTTGGAGACAGAGACAAAACTGAAGAACACCAGCTGCATGTGTGAGAATCAAACCCACAACCTCCACGACCTCCACAACCTCCACTCCACAGGCTGACCTCTGCTCTGTGGTCCTCTGTCCTTCAGGGATTCCTCTGGTTCCTCTGGTTCCACTCTGGTTCCTCTGGTTCCTCTCTGGTTCCTCTGGTTCCTCTCTGGTTCCTCTGGTTCCTCTCTGGTTCCTCTGGTTCTGGTTCCTATCTGGTTCCTCTGGTTCCTCTCTGGTTTCTCTCTGGTTCCTCTGGTTCCTCTCTGGTTCCTCTGGTTCCTCTGGTTCTCTGGTTCTCTGGTTCCTCTGGTTCCTCTGGTTCTGGTTCCTCTCTGGTTCCTCTGGTTCTTCTCTGGTTCCTCTGGTTCCACTCTGGTTCCTCTGGTTCCTCTCTGGTTCCTCTAGTTCCTCTCTGGTTCTCTGGTTCCTCTGGTTCCTCTCTGGTTCCTCTCTGGTTCCTCTGGTTCCTCTCTGGTTCTCTGGTTCCTCTGGTTCCTCTCTGGTTCCTCTGGTTCTGGTTCCTCTCTGGTTCCTCTGGTTCCTCTCTGGTTCCTCTGGTTCCTCTGGTTCTCTGGTTCCTCTGGTTCCTCTCTGGTTCCTCTGGTTCCTCTGGTTCTTCTCTGGTTCTGGTTCCTCTCTGGTTCCTCTCTGGTTTCTCTCTGACCTCTGCCCTCTGCCCTTCAGAGGTTCTCTGGTTCCTGGCTGGACTTATGAGATGTTGCTTCACGCTGAGGTGGACGTGGGCGACGTGACGGAGGTGAACTTCAGGTGGAACAACCACATCCCCAACCCCATGAACGAGAAGTACGGAGCCTCCAGCGTCGAGCTGCTCCGAGGGAAAGACAAGAAGACGTGAGTATGACAGGAGCCGACAGGAGCCGACAGGAGCAGACGGGAGCAGACGGGAGCAGACAGGAGCAGACAGGAGCAGACAGGAGCAGAGCAGGAGCAGACAGGAGCAGACAGGAGCAGACAGGAGCAGACAGGAGCAGACAGGAGCAGCAGGAGCAGACAGGAGCAGGCAGGAGCCGAGGAGCAGACGGGAGCAGACGGGAGCAGACAGGAGCAGACAGGAGCAGACAGGAGCAGACAGGAGCAGACAGGAGCAGACAGGAAGCAGACAGGAGCAGACAGGAGCAGACAGGAGCAGGAGCAGACAGGAGCAGACAGGAGCCGACGGGAGCCGACAGGGAGCAGCAGACAGGAGCAGACAGGAGCAGACAGGAGCAGGAGCAGGAGCAGACAGGAGCAGACAGGAGCAGACAGGGAGCCGACGGGAGCAGACAGGGAGCCAGACGGGAGCAGACAGGAGCAGACAGGAGCAGACAGGAGCAGGCGGGAGCAGACAGGGAGCAGACGGGAGCAGACGGGAGCAGACAGACAGGAGCAGACAGGAAGACAGACAGGAGCCGACGGGAGCAGGACAGGAGCCGACGGAGCAGACGGGAGCAGAGACAGGAGCCGACGGGAGCAAGCGACAGGAGCAGACAGGAGCAGACAGGAGCAGACAGGAGCAGGAGCAGACAGGAGCAGACGGGAGCAGACGGGAGCAGACAGGAGCAGACGGGAGCAGACAGGAGCAGACAGGAGCAGACAGGAGCAGACAGGAGCAGAGGAGCAGGGAGCAGACAGGAGCGACGGGAAGCAGACAGGAGCAGACGGGAGCAGACAGACAGGAGCAGACAGGAAGCAGACAGGAGCAGACAGGAGCAGACGGGAGCAGGAGCAGACAGGAGCAGACAGGAGCAGCAGACAGGAGCAGACAGGGAGCAGACAGGAGCAGACAGGAGCAGACAGGAGCAGGAGCAGACAGGAGCAGGCAGGATGTTGTCAGATTGGGTTTAGTGATTTCTGTCCAATCAGGTTCAAAAACTCGTCTTCTTCAGCAAAAAAACTCCACACAAACATTCAAAGTTTGAATAAACGTGTGAGATTCACTGTTTAGTTTAGTGTTTTGTTTTAAAAACTTGAGGAAACATGTTTTGTAAAACTTTTGGTCAAACGTAGAACAAAGTTTTCATCAAATATAAAACTGAAAATCATCAACAAAAACTGGAGAGTTCAAATTTCCAGGTAAAATATTCTGAAGTTGTTTTTAACACCAAAAGTGTTTTATTTTTACTCTTTGAGAGTTAAATGTGAGTTGGAGTTGAGGTGATTTGTCAGAGTTGATTTGGTTGAAGTTAATTCAACTTCTCTTAGTGTTAATTTGACTTCAAACTCCCTCCAGAAAAGAACCAGTTTGAACCAGTTTTGTTCTGAATTTCATCTTAAATTAACTCAAATAAAGTGTGAAAATAAAACTCCTCTGTGTTGTTGAGTTAAATCAGGATAACTCTACAAAGTGGTTATCTGTTTACTCTCTAAACCTTCATTTAACTCTGGGTTTGGGTTAAACAGGAACTTTGGTCCAGTTTTACTACATGAACTTTTACACAAATGTTAAATTAACTCTAGAACAGAGTGACTCAGAGAAACTCTGAGGAAATGTTCAAACTGACTCTGTCAGAGTTGATTTGAACACAACACTTTTTGCTGTAAAACCTCGACTACGACAAAAACAGAAAACACAAAACCTGAAACTCAAACATCAAAAAACTGAACATTTATCATCTGAACATCGACACAGACCAGAGACCAGAGACCAGAGACCAGACCAGACCAGACCAGAGAGACCAGACCAGACCAGACCAGACCAGAGACCAGACCAGAGACCAGACCAGAGACCAGACCAGAGACCAGAGACCAGACCAGACCAGACCAGAGACCAGAGACCAGAGACCAGACCAGACCAGACCAGAGACCAGACAGACCAGACCAGACCAGACCAGACCAGAGACCAGACCAGACCAGACCAGACCAGACCAAGAGACCAGAGACCAGACCAGACCAGAGACCAGACCAGACCAGACCAGACCAGAGACCAGACCAGAGACCAGACCCAGACCAGACCAGACCAGACCAGACCAGACCCAGACCAGACCAGAGACCAGAGACCAGACCAGAGACCAGACCAGACCAGAGACCAGAGACCAGACCAGACAGACCAGACCAGAGACCAGACCAGACCAGACCAGACCAGACCAGAAGACCAGAGACCAGAGACCAGACCAGACCAGACCAGACCAGACCAGACCAGACCCAGACCAGACGACCAGACCAGACCAGACCAGACCAGACCAGACCAGAGACCAGACCAGACCCAGACCAGAGACCAGACCAGACCAGACCAGAGACCAGACCAGACCAGACCAGACCAGACCGAGACCAGAGACCAGACCAGACCAGACCAGACCAGAGACCAGACCAGACCAGACCAGACCAGAGACCAGACCAGACCAGACCAGACCAGACCAGACCAGACCAGACCAGACCAGAGACCAGACCAGACCAGACCAGAGACCAGAGACCAGAGACCAGACCAGACCAGACCAGACCAGACCAGAGACCAGACCAGACCAGACCAGACCAGACCCAGAGACCAGACAGACCAGACCAGAGACCAGACCAGAGACCAGACCAGACCAGACCAGACCAGAGACCAGACCAGACCAGACCAGACCAGAGACCAGAGACCAGACCAGACCAGACCAGACCAGAGACCCAGAGACCAGACCAGACAGACAGACCAGACCAGACCAGACCAGACCAGACCAGACCAGACCAGACCAGACCAGACCAGACCAGACCAGACCAGACCAGACCAGAGACCAGACCAGACCAGAGACCAGAGACCAGACCAGACCAGACCAGAGACCAGACCAGAGACCAGACCAAGGACCAGACCAGACCAGACCAGACAGAACCAGACCAGAACCAGAGACCAGACCAGACAGACCAGACCAGACCAGACCAGACCAGACCAGAGACCAGACCAGACCAGACCAGAGACCAAGACCAGACCAGACCAGACCAGACCAGACCAGACCAGACCAGACCAGACCAGACCAGACCAGACCAGAGACCAGACCAGACCAAGACCAGACCAGAGACCAGACCAGACCAGACCAGACCAGACCAGACCAGACCAGACCAGACCAGACCAGACCAGACCAGACCAGACCAGACCAGACAGACCAGAGACCAGACCAGACAGACACCAGACCAGACCAGACCAGACCAGACCAGACCAGAACCAGACCAGACCAGACCAGACCAGAGACCAGACCAGACCAGACCAGAGACCAGAGACCAGACCAGACCAGAGACCAGACCAGACCAGACCAGAGACCAGAGACCAGACCAGACCAGACCAGAGACCAGACCAGACCAGACCAGACCAGACCAGAGACCAGAGACCAGACCAGACCAGACCAGAGACCAGAGACCAGACCAGACCAGACCAGACCAGACCAGAGACCAGACCAGAGACCAGACCAGACCAGACCAGAAGACCAGACCAGACCAGACCAGACCACCAGACCAGAAGACCAGACCAGAAGACCAGACCAGAGACCAGCCAGAGACCAGACCAAGACCAGACCAGACAGACCAGACCAGACCAGACCAACCAGACCAGACCAGAGACCAGACCAGACCAGACCAGACCAGACCAGACCAGACCAGACAGACCAGAGACCAGAGACCAGACCAGACCAGACCAGACCAGAACCAGACCAGACCAGACCAGACCAGAGACCAGACCAGACCAGACCAGAGACCAGACCAGACCAGACCAGACCAGACCAGACCAGACCAGAACCAGACCAGACCAGAGACCAGACCAGACCAGACAGAGACCAGAGAACCAGAACCAGACCAGACCAGACCAGACCGACCAGACCAGACCAGACCAGACCAGACCAGACCAGACCAGACCAGAGACAGACCAGACCAGAGACCAGACCAGACCAGAGACCAGACAGACCAGACCAGACCAGAGACCAGAGACCAGACCAGACCAGACCAGACCAGAGACCAAGACCAGACCAGAGACCAGAGACCAGACCAGACCAGACCAGACCAGAGACCAGACCAGACCAGAACCAGAGACCAGAGACCAGACCAGACCAGACCAGACCAGACCAGAGACCAGAGACCAGACCAGACCAGACCAGACCAGACCAGAGACCAGAGACCAGACCAGACCAGACCAGACCAGACCAGACCCCAGAGACCAGAGACCAGACCAGACCAGACCAGACCAGACCAGACCAGACCAGACCAGACCAGACCAGACCACCAGACCAGACCAGACCAGACCAGACCAGACCAGACCAGACCAGACCAGAGACCAGACCAGAGACCAGACCAGACCAGACCAGAGACCAGACCAGACCAGACCAGACCAGACCAGACCAGACCAGAGACCACCAGACCAGACCAGACCAGACCAGACCAGACCAGACCAGCCAGACCAGACCAGACCAGAGACCAGACCAGAGACCAGACCAGACCAGACCAGACCAGACCAGAGACCAGAGACCAGACCAGACCAGACCAGACCAGACCAGACCAGACCGACCAGACCAGACCAGACCAGACCAGACCAGACCAGACCAGACCAGACCAGACCAGACCAGACCAGACCAGAGACCAGACAGACCAGACCAGACCAGAGACCAGAGACCAGACCAGACCAGACCAGACCAGAGAGACCAGACCAGACCAGAGACCAGAGACCAGACCAGACCAGACCAGACCAGACCAGACCAGAGACCAGAGACCAGACCAGACCAGACCAGACCAGACCAGACCAGACCCAGACCAGAGACCAGACCAGACCAGACCAGACCAGACGACCAGACCAGACCAGACCAGACCAGACAGACCAGACCAGAGACCAAGACCAGAGACCAGACCAGACCAGACCAGACCAGAGACCAGACCAACCAGACCAGACCAGACCAGACCCCAGACAGACCAGAGACCAGAGACCAGACCAGACCAGAAGACCAGACCAGAGACCAGACCCAGACCAGACCAGGACCAGACCAGACCAGACCAGACCAGACCAGACCAGACCAGACCAGAGACCAGAGACCAGACCAGACCAGAGACCAGAACCAGACCAGACCAGAGACCAGACCAGACCAGAACCCCAGACCAGACCAGAGACCAGAGACCAGACCAGACCAGAACCAGAGCCAGAGACCAGACCAGACCAGACCAGACCAGAGACCAGACCAGACCCACCAGAGAACCAGACCAGACCAGACCAGACCAGACAGAGACCAGACCAGGACCAGACCAGAGACCCAGACAGACCAGACCAGACCAGAGACCAGAGACCAGAGAAGCCAGACCAGACCAGACCAGAGACCAGACCAGACCAGACCAGAGACCAGACCAGACCAGACCAGAGACCAGAGACCAGACCAGACCAGACCAGAGACCAGAGACCAGAGACCAGACCAGAACCAGGACAGACCAGACCAGACCAGACCGAGACCAGAGACCAGACCAGACCAGACCCAGACCAGAGACCAGACCAGACCAGAGACCAGACCAGAGACCAGACCAGACCAGACCAGACCAGACCAGACCAGACCAGACCAGACCAGACCAGAGACCGAGGACCAGGACCAGAGAGACCAGACCAGACCAGACCAGACCAGACCAGACCAGACCAGAGACCAGAGACCAGACCAGACCAGAGACCAGACAGACCAGACCAGACCAGAGACCAGGAGACCAGACCAGAACTAGACCAGACCAGACCAGACCAGACCAGACCAGAGAGACCAGACCAGAGACCAGACCAGAGACCAGACCAGACCAGACCAGACCGGACCAGACCAGACCAGAGACCAGACCAGAAATGAAATAAATAAAATACTAGAATTATTGTTAAGAATCTTTTCTTTACTTACAGAAGTGAGGAAAGACAAATGTGACGTGTGTTTGTGACGCTCGAGCAGCAGGAGGCGCTGCAGGACTCACGCTCCTCACTCCTGTTCCTGTTTCCTGTTCCTGTTTCCTGTTTCCTGTTTCCTCATCACTTCTTCTGTGTTTGTGTTTCCCAGGATGCAGTTCTGCGGCACCGAGAAAGTCGCAGAAAACAAGATCCAGTCGATCCTGCCCTGTCGCCAGTGAACACGCCCCTGTCACGCACCTGTCACGCACCTGTCAGGCTCCTGTCAGGCTCCTGTCACGCCCTGTGCTGTCTCTGTCAACCGTCAGGCCCCTGTCCCTGCAGGCCCTGTCAGGCCCCTGTCACGCCCCTGTCACGCACCTGTCACCTGTCACGCCTGTCAGGCTCCTGTCAGGCCCCTGTCACGCACCTGTCACGCACCTGTCAGGCCCCTGTCAGGCCCCTCACGCCCCTGTCACGCCCCTGTCACGCCCCTGTCACGCCCCTGTCAGCCCTGTCACGCCCCTGTCACGCCCCTGTCAGGCTCCTGTCACGCACCTGTCACGCCCCTGTCACGCCCCTGTCACGCCCCTGTCACGCCCCTGTCACGCCCCTGTCAGGCTCCTGCTCCTGACAGGTGCGACACTGAGACACGTGGGACATGAACCTGTCCCCGTCTAATAATAATAATAATAATAATAATAATAATAATAATAATAATAATAATAATAATCATAATAATAATAATAATAATAAACTCTGTCACACACCAGGTTCATGGTTGTTTTTATTTTTATTAGAATTTTACTTTTAAAACTTTTTAAAAACAAATGAATCTTTCCACGTTTGTTTCTGTCGTTTTTTCTCGTGAACAGTTAAAGCTTCACTGAGTCACTTTTCATGGAGATGCTGGTTTTTCCCGAGTCGAGTCGAGTCGAGTCGAGATGTTCCACACAACAGATTAAACCTCCAGGCTCCATCACAGCTCAGATCTGTGGAGAGGCGCCGCTGTTCACTGACAGAACTGTTATACAGAGTCACAAACAGTGTCGGGAAGTTTACTCTTAAAATGTAATCCCCTACAGATTACAGATTACAGATTACACACCCTGAAATGTAGTTTGTAACATAATCCATTAAAGTACTTAAAGTGAGTAATGTAATCTGATTACTTTGGATTACTTGATTTATTGTAGAGAAACAAAGACTCGGGAATCATAACATAAGAAGTTTTATCTGATAAAAGAAAATAAAAAGTCCAAACTTTACTGAACCAAATAAAAAATATTATTGATAGAAAACGAAGAAACACGTCCACACAGCAGGATTTAGTCCTGGTTTAGTCCTGGTTTAGTCCTGGTTTAGTCCTGGTTTAGTCCTGGTTTAGTCCTGGTTTAGACCTGGTTTAGTCCTGGTTTAGACCTGGTTCAGTCCTGGTTTAGTCCTGGTTTAGTCCTGGTTTAGTCCTGGTTTAGTCCTGGTTTAGTCCTGGTTTAGACCTGGTTTAGTCCTGGTTTAGACCTGGTTTAGTCCTGGTTTAGTCCTGGTTTAGTTTACAGCAGTAAGTGGAATTACAGGGAAAAAAAAAAAAAAAAAAAGGATTTTGCCCCAAATGTGAAAACAGTTAAATCCCTCTGTTTATCCATTTATTTTCAACAAAGTAACTGTAATCCAATTACCGCTCACTGAAACAGTAACTGTAACTGAATACAGTTACTCATCATTTGTACTCTGATTACTCTGGTACATGTAATCTGTTACTCCCGACACTGTTCACAAACCAATAATTTTGTTTATTCTTGTTGAAATAATTAAAAATTTTCACAGAATGTTTAGAAACAGATGAAGATTTTATATTTTATGTTTTATTGTTGTTGTGTTTTCAGGTTGAGTCGTTTTCTCCCAAACAAAATCGTTTCGTGTTTTGAATCAAACTCATCCGAGACTGAAACTTCAACATTTGGACAAAACTTCAACAAGTGACAATTAAATTCTGGGTGAATTTTTTCCAAATGTTGTGATGAAGCTGCTCAGTCTTGGCTGAGGCTCAACCTGAAAACACAACAAAAATAAAACATCACAAATCAAATCTTCATCTGTTTCTAAACAGTTTGTCAAAATTTGAGCTGATTTCAACAAGAACTGACAAAATTATTTTGACCTGTGAAATTATGTCAAAATTTTCGGGACTCCTGTATTTTTGAGCGATAGAAACAACTGTAATGAATAAACGCTGGATAAATGTGTTTAAAGTCACATCACGGAACATTCCAGGCAAAGTAATAACATCTCCATGGAGACAAGCAGGTGAAAAGTCCAGAAAAGTTTCTCAGTGCAGCTTTAATCCTCTGACACTCCAAAACTTTCAGTCACACTTGAGCTTTTCTTGTCACATAAAAGTGCGATAAAATAAAATAAATTAATATTTTTTACACTTTCAATGGTTCAAATCTTTTGTCTCCTTGTTTTCTGTTCAAATATCTAAAAAATATATCAAACTTTAAAGAATTAGTTTTAGATATGGGTCAATTAAGATGCAAAAATGTATGTTTTTGTTTTTTTTTTACACCCCCAAAACACAAAATCTGCAAATAAAAAAAGAAAAAAAGAAAGTCTGAAGTGGATTTTTTGAGTTGATGTTATTAGACATTTACACATGACAATAATTTATAATAATATTGATTTTGTTGTATTATTGTGTTTTGAGTTGTACTCATTTATAAAAAAAAAAAAAAAAAAAAAAGTCACACTCGTATGATTCGTGTCACAAACGGTTCCCGCCACAAAAAAGTACAATAAAATAAAGCTAAATGTTTTTTTTGTTTTGTTTTTAAAAGCTCAAATCTTTTGTCTCCTTGTCTTCTATTCAAATATCTAAAAAAAATCAAACTTTAAAGAATTATTTTTAGGTATGGGCCATTTAAAGTGCAAAAATGTATGAGTTTTTTTACACCCACAAAACACAAAATCTGCAAAATTTCAAAAAAAAAAAAAGAAAAAGTAGATTGTTTTAGGTTAAATACAATAAAATAGAGCTAAATATATATATTTTTTATACTTTTAATAGCTCAAATCTTTAGTTTATTTGTCTTTTGTCCAAATATATTTGAATAAATTAAACTTTTAAAGGAGCGTTGTTCTGGACATAAAGACCTGAGAGTCGAGCGACAGAGGAAACACAAAGAGTCGTGGAGCCGGAGTCGTGGGTTTGAAATACACTGGTTTTATTGGAGACAGTGAGACTTTTGAGTGAAATCTCTGTAAATAAAACATTAAAATCATCCAAATTAAACATTAAACATTAAACATCTGCACAAACGTTTATAAAGAAACACTTTCTCTCGCTGATCTGTGGCGTCACGAAGCAGGTCACAGCTCCTGCGCTTCACATTTCACTTTTATTACACTTTTATTTCACTTTTATTACACTTTTATTTCACTTTTATTTCAGTTTTTATGCTGCCTCATTTGTAATAATGTTGGATTTATATTTGAACAGAAGCTCAGTCGAGTCTCAGCTCACAAACGAGTCACAAGGAAACTCCAAAAGTCAAATCCACAAACGTGTTTTTACTCCTGATTATTTCTCCAAACACCGACACGTGTGGGAGGGCATCTGACATTATTTTAACGTTGGTAAACTGAGACTCGTCTGAGGTAAAAAGCTGCAAACATTTTCCAGAATCACATTTTTTGTTCAAGTTTCACCAAAAATCAAATGTAAACACAAGAATTTCATTTCAAAAGTAAAAATAATTCCTACATTTTTCCAGTTAATTTTTGTATTTTCAGCTGTTTTTTGTTGTTGTTGTTTTTTTCCGAGAAGCGCAGGTTACGTTTAAGTTTGGACCACGTCATTCCGACAGCGAGAGCCGCAGCATGCTTCTGAAAACGTGCAGGAAAAGTGCGGAAAACAGAAAAATTCCCTTTAAAATGGCTTAAATATTGTAGTTTGTCAAAGCGCGTCGCCACGGAGACGGAGCGATTCAGGGAAGCAGCTTCAGGAGCGACAACAAACGATATGAGGGATTTTACATCACAGTTTAGCTCCTAAAATACAGAAGACAAACGTTTAAAGAGAATAAAAAGTGTCGGAGAACGTGAGTTTATGTCGTGGTTCTGAACTTTCACTGTGCCGCCAAAAGTCTGTCCTGATTCATCACACGGTTTCACTTCGTTTCACTTGGTGGAAACCGTGTGACCTGCAGCGTTAGGATTCGTTCACTCGACAGGAGGCGGGACTTTTTTTATTGAACCAGTCGCTGCTGTTTGGTCGTGATGTTTGTAATGATCCAAATCCTGTAGGAAGAAGAACAACAACGACTTTCCCCG